AATAGTTAGGCTTATATACCGCTTCATAGGGCTTTCAGCCCTCTCTAAGCGGTTTACAGAGTCAGCATATTGCCCCCAACAACAATCTGGGTCCTGGGCCCTGTGTGATTGCCACAGCCGTCTCCCAGAGAGGAGTAGGAAGGTTTCGGGCACAGGCCAGCCTTTGGCTGTGTGTGTGTCTTTGTGGAGAAACGCTGCAGAGCCGCCAGGGAATCGGCCGGGGGAAACTTACTGATCACGCTCTGGACTTTGGCAACCATGCTGCTGGGCGGGATGAAGGCGGCCTTCTCCGAGAAGTCGCACGAGTACAGGACGTTGTCCACCGTGGTCCCGTGCTCGCTGTAGTTGAGCAGTTCGTAATGTTTGGTGTTCTGGGGAGGGGGGGAGGGAAGGAAGTCTGTTGCACCAAATGGCCAAGGTGGGGGAAGCCCGAAGGGGGGGGGGTTTGTCATCGTCCTCTCCCTGCCCACCCACCCACAAAAGCAGGACGCATGCTGGGCCCCCTGCCCTCCTCCCAGCTCTCACCTCATCGTAGAAGATGCAGGCGTGTTTGCCCGAGACGTAGTTGCAGTGACCGTAGTTTGTAAGGCACACGTCCATGTCTGCTCCTGCCAAACGAAGGGGGAGTCAGAACGGCAGTGGGGGAGGGGGGGCTCCCACTACCCAAAGGCCGGGGGGGGGGGTGGGGAGGCCAGGTCAGGCCCCAGGTCCCTCCCTGCTGCGTTTCTTGTACGTGAATCATGTATTAACCGCTACCCGGAGGGAGACTTTCCCAGCGATTGGGGGGGGGGGGGGGAAGGGGAAGCCCCAGGAATGCCGCCACAAGGAGGGACTCCTCCCCCCCTCCCCTGCCGGCCATGCAGAGGCGCCAGCCCTTGCCTGTCCCGATGTAGAGGGTCCTGTAGCACATGTTCACCGCGCTGCCCGAGCCAAGGAGTGGGTAGAAGACTGCCCGGGCCTGCACCTCCTTCCTCTGTCCTGCAAAGGCAGAAAAGATGCCCTGGGTGCCAAGCGCCTCCCGTGCGCCAGGCACAGGACGCTCCCTTCCGAATCTTCCCCCCCTCCCTCTCTCTCTGATCGCCGCTGGGAGAATTACACCTTTTGATGAGGGTTTAATTGGGGCGACAGGGACCCCTTGGCACTCGGCTGCTTTGAAAGTCATCGAGTTTGGTGCTCAAGGAATTTTGATGGGAAAATTTGGTCCCGTTACTCGTCTTTTGTCTGGTACTTAAGGCACAAACGATGTCGGATGCCTCGCTATGTTATTCCCGATGGGGAAAAATGGTTTGGTACCCTTTTTTTGGTACTCATTGTGTTTCCCCGGACCAGTTAAGGATGAGGACCGAGGTACCCATTCAGTATCTACTCTGATGGGCACCTAGCAGGCTCCCAGGAGTTGGCACTTTATTGGGGGGAGAGGGAAAGAGAGAGAGAGAGAGAAAGAAAGTGCGAGAGACCCCACCAAGGAGAGCCAGAAAGTAGAAACTGGGCACATGCAAGAGTAGGCCAAGCCCCCAACTCTCTTTTTTAAGTCGGAACCCCACCACCACCTCCACCACCTCCCCGGTTGGAGCAGAAATCCTGACGGGGGAAAGACGAGGTTACGACAGCCCGGACTACCTTCGGCAGGGTTGCTAGCAGAAGTGGGCGGGGGGCACCCCACGCTGTCGGCCGCCGGTTGAGCTTTGGAGGCGAAGAGCTGGTGTATCCTCTGCAAGGCCAGGAACTTGACCAGCTTCTCGTCCAGCATCCCGATCTCGATCTCTGCTGATGAAAAGGCAAAGGGGGTGGGGGCAAAAGGGGGTCAATGGGCTGAGTGTGCCTGGACAGAGCCAAGGAGCCTCCAAAGCGACAGGGGGCAACAACTAGGCGTCTCTCAAGAAAGCTGGCTGGCTGCCCGGCCCAAAAGGAATGCGTGTCCACCCTTGGCAAAAGGCTCTTTGACCACACGAAGATGAGAACGGGTCAGTTTCCTTTGCCAGCCTTCAATGTACCTGTGTGTGTGTGTGTGTGTGTGTGTGTGCTTCAAGTCCCAAAGGTGCTTTTATCCAAGAGTCAACTGGACTTTCTCTTTTTCTTTGAAGACGTTCCCATCCCAGAAGGTACTTGAGAGACCGCCTGCTGCCAATTACCTCCCAAAGACCCATTAGATCGCACAGGG